TAATTATAATATAATAAAAATATAATATTATAATATATAATTAAATATATAATTAAAAACAATACAATATTAGTATTAATTATTTTATATAAATGAGTAATATAAAAATATTTAATTTTATTATATTTTAGTATTATTTTAATATTATTTTTTATTATTTATTTTATATTATATTTTTAATTTTTATTTATTATAAATATTTTATTTTTTTAATCTTTTTATTTAAATTTTATTATAATCAAATATTTTTTTTATTATGATTTATTTTTATTTAAATTAAATATATATATTTTAATATATATATTTTACATAATAATCAAAAAAAATTATTAATATTTTTTATTATTAATATTAATTATTTTATATTTTATATATATCAATCTGTTTAATAATTTTTCTGATCATATTATTTATTAAATTTAATTTTAATTTTTATTTTCTTTTGTTATTTTTTTTAGCTTATTTAATATCTATTTAATTATTATATTTTTCATTTAATATAATTTTCTTTTTAATTATTTTAATTTAATTATTTGTTTAAAGAAATTTAAATGTATATTTAATAAAAAAAAATTATTTAAATCATTAATAGTAAAGCAGTTTATTATATATTTATATAATTTAAATTTTTATTTAATTTTTTTTTTTTTTAATATAAATTATAATTTTTTATTTTATAAATATTTTTGTATTTTATAATTTTTTTTTTTATTTATATTAAAAAAAAAAAATTAAACATATTTTTTATATAAATTATTTTATATTTTTAAATATAATATAGAATTAAAATTGATAAAAGTTATATAAACAAATATAATTTTAATAAATTAAAGAGAATTAAATTAAAAATATTTTTTTATAAATAATAAATAAAAATAATAGATAATTACTATATTTTAAAAATTTATTAATAAAGTATTAATAATTTAGATTTATTTTGTTATAAACAAAACAAAAAATATATATATAAATATAATGATAAAATTATTTATATAAAAAATAAAATCAAAAATAAATATAATAATTATATAAAAAATTACATAATATATTTATAATTATATATTTTTAAAAATTTCATTAAATAGAAAAATTTATAAATTATTTTATTTTTGTATAAAATAATTTATATAATTATTTTAAAACTAAGATAAATATATTATAAAAAAAAAATCATTTTTTATTTTTTAAAAATAATTAAAAAAAAAAATTAAAATAATATATTATATATAAATTAAAATTTTATTTTAAATATTATTTATGATAAAAATATTTATTTTTTATATAATATTTTTAAATATTTAATTATTATTTTACATTTATTTTTTTATAATATATTTATTTTAAAATTTTATTTAATATTAAATATTATTTTTTATAAATATTTTCGTAATTATTTTTTAATTCTTATTCTTATTTCTCTATCAATAAATTATTAATTGATTATAATTTTCTCTGTATATTTATTCATTAAAATATTTTTTTAAAAAAATATTTAATATCTTTGAATAAATTAAATTATATTATAATCATATATTAATCTATTATTCATTATTATATTAATCTATATTTATTTAATAAACATATTATTTTAAATTTAATACTTTTTATATATTATAAAAATTTTCTATTTTTTAATTTATAATATAAAATAAATTTATTTATTAAATTAAAAATTTTAATATCTTTTAAAATTTAATAAAAATTATAAAGAATTAATTATTAAAATGTGTACTTACAATATATTTATATTTATTATATTATTAAGTCTATTATCTATCATCAATTCTCAAAAAAAACACTTTAGAAATAATGTTTATTTTCAAAATTTACGTATAATTGTATAATTAAGCCTTAGCTTGTGGCATTGATTATGATTATGGTAGTGGAGGTGGTTTTACTTAATAATGTGGTTTATATAATTAATGTATCATATTTATTTCTCATAAATCATAAAAACCTATATTTGGTTATTTTTTCAGTTTTAAATATATAATTATTGATGATTGGGTTATTGGTACAGATTTTTTGTCCTTTATGATAAATGGAAATATTTCTACATGTTTATTTAAAAATAATGCTTCTACTAATTTATGTGGATAATAAAAATTTAACGAAGAATATTAATAAGCGGATATCGAATATATTACTAATAACTAAGAACTTGAAATCGAAATAACGAGTAATTACTAAAAGACTTACGATAATTATACAAGATCTTTTGGAATTACGAAACTTTTTATTTATGCTTATGAATGTATGCCTTAATGTGCTGGATGTACTAACGGTACTTCTTGTAGTTCTTGTTTTAAAGGCTATTATTTAAATATAGATGAATGTTTACATTGTATTCTAGGATGCGAAGAATGTATAGATGGAGTTTCTTGTGATTTATGTAAAAGTGGATATTTTTATTACGATTCAAAATGTATTTCTTCATGCCCAAATGGAAAATATGCAGATTCTTCAGCAAGAACTTGCTATGATTGTAATATTAAATGTATAACTTGTTCTAATGCGACTGATTGTGATACATGTTTTGAGAATAGGGTTCACCTGCTTGTGAATGATTATCCTTAATATTCTTATGATCCTAAGGTTTTCAATTAAGCCTGTACTATGTGTTCTACTTTTTCAGCTGGATGTGTTACATGTAGTACGACAGAATGACTTGCATGCAATTCTCCATAATATTTTTAATTAAACTAAAATAAATAAATTCCACCTTTATAATTGAAAAAATAAGGATAATATTAATTTTAAGTAGATGTTGTTTCCTAGTATAACTAAGCAGCAACTGCAAATGCAATAATATAAACTTTATAAAACACATCGATAGACATAAGAGTAAAAACAAATCCGAACTAAATTTATAGAAGTAATTTAGTGAAAATAAATATTTATTTTAATCTCTTATAATGCGAAGATGATGGAAAAATATTTTATCAATAAGCAGATGTTTATCAAGTATAAATAAAGTAAAATGACAATTTAACTGAATAATTAAATATTGATTCCACATAATATGTTTAAGGAACTTAATTTTAATTTTAAATTTAACTTTTTATTATGAAAGTTAATACAAATACAACATATAATATATAAATTACAGTTTCTTTAAAATTTAATCCAAATATCACTCAATAAATATAATACCCAATATAAGTTCTTTCTAATTCTCCTTTGGTTTAAATTTTAGGAGGAAATAGATAATAATAATATTCTTAAAGTTTTAGTCTCGAAGGAAAAGTAGATGATTCTAATTTATCCTCTAGTGAAAAGACTTCATTAAAGCAAACTAATTATGGAATAAATTTAAATTGGTAATGCATAAGTCTAAATACAGGAGATAATTGTAGAGATTCATTAAATAATTCTATTGTTTCTGCATTTACATAAAGCATATAAATTACCATATAAAAGAAAATGTTATAGGTTATTAATAATATTAATTTAAACTATCAGAACAAAAACGGAATAACCATTTTTGATTAGATATATATTAATGGTTGATTATGATGTTCCTCCTGTTTATACTACTATTTCTATTA